TAATAATAATAATAATAATAATAATAATAATAATAATAATAATAATAATAATAATAATAATAATAATAATAATAATAATAATAATAATAATAATAATAATAATAATAACAAACCCAAAATCCTATGGTGCAGACTAAAGGACCCTCACAGTTGGACGTCGAAAATTACTGGGCAAGTTTATGGGCAGATAACAAATGTCACAAGACTTCAGCAAGCTGGATACACGAGGAACAAACTAAAATGCAAAGAATCAACAACATGGATTACAATAACATCACTACAAAAGAGTTAACTGCAAAAATATTAGTGACCCATAACTGGAAAGCGCCTGGAAATGACAAAATACACAATTTCTGGCTAAAAAAATTTACAAACATTCACCAAGAACTAACTAAATACCTAAACATCTTTATTGAAAATCCAGAGAAAATACCTAAATTTATGACTCAAGGAATTACATATTTACTACCCAAAAATGAGCACACTGAGAATCCCGCAAATTATCGACCAATAACATGTCTTCCTACTATATACAAACTATTGACAGCCTGCATAAGTGAAGCTATATACAAGCATTGCGAGACTAACCACATACTTGCCGAACAACAAAAAGGATGTCGCAAAGATTCTCAAGGTTGTAAGGAGCAGCTGCTAATTGATGAAATAATCATGAAACAAGCATATAAGAAAAACCGCAATATTTATACAGGTTATATTGACTACCGAAAAGCATTTGACTCCATCCCACATAGCTGGCTGCTAGAAATTCTAAAAATATATAAAATAAGTACCACACTTATGAATTTTTTACAGAAAACTACATCTCATTGGGAAACAATACTTAAAGTAGAAGTGGGAAATACGAAGTTTACTACCCAGCCAATCCCGATAAATAGAGGTATATTCCAAGGAGACTCGTTAAGCCCCCTCTGGTTCTGTCTGGCTCTAAATCCGCTTTCAAATATGCTAAACAGTGGAAATAAGGGATACACTATAACGAAAACACAAGGAACAGCGTACAAACTATCACATCTAATGTACATGGACGATATTAAGTTATATAGTAGTACTGAGCATCAACTCAAACAAATTCTTAATATCGTCGAAATATTCAGCACAGATATAGGAATGGGATTTGGGATGGAAAAATGCAAAACACAAAGAATACGAAATGGAAAAAGGGAGATTGTAGAACATAAACTGGAAAATAACGAAACAATAGAATGTATGCAAGAAGGAGATATGTATAAATACTTGGGCATAAAACAATCCCGGTTAATAGAGGAAAAAGAAACAAAAACAGATATTACCGCAAAATACGTCAAAAGGCTGGAAATGCTAACGAAAACTAAACTGTCAGGAAAACATATGATAAAAGCCATAAATACATTTGCAGTCCCAATACTCACTTACAGCTTTGGCGTTATCCATTGGACGCAAACAGACATAAACGAACTACAAAGGATAACAAACAAATCACTGACAAATGCCAGATTCCACCATCCAAAATCCGCCATCGAACGGCTTACGTTACCTCGCACGGAAGGTGGGAGAGGGTTAATTGATATCAACAACTTACTGAGTAAACAGAAAAACATTCTAAAAAAATACTTCCTTGAAAAGCAACAGACTTCAGAAATGCATCTTGCTGTTGTAACAATTGACGATAACTATTCACCGCTTAATTTAAGTAAAGACGGTGAATTTTCAATCACAAGCAACGCTGAGAAACATCAAGCTTGGCTCCAAAAAGCGCTACATGGAAAACATGCACAGGCACTAAACCAACCACATGTCGACAAGATTGCATCCAACGCATGGCTTTCTTACAGTTCTCTATTTCCGGAAACAGAAGGGTTTATGATGGCCATCCAAGATCAAGTGATAAGTACAAAAAACTACAAAAAACATGTTATAAGGGATGGCACCGAAGATGACGCATGTAGAAGATGCAAATCTGCCGTTGAAAATATTCAACATATAATTTCCGGATGCCAAGTACTAGCACAAACGGAATATAAAGTTAGACATGATAATGTCGCGAAAATATTGCATGATCAGTTGTCAGTAAAATATAAATTAAAAGAAAAAACCACTCCCTACTACAAGTGTAACCCTCCAAAAATTTTAGAAAATAGTTCAGCTCGAATATACTGGGATCGAGGACTCTTAACCGATAGAACAGTATCTCACAATAGGCCAGATATAACAATCTTTGACAAAGATAATAATACTGCGTTCTTGATAGACGTTTCTATTCCAAATACAGGCAATACTCAAGCAGCATATGCTGAAAAAATTAGAAAATATGCTGAATTACTTCTTGAAGTAAAACAGCTATGGCAGGTTAAAGCAGTATACATCTTGCCCATAATAATATCTGCTACAGGAGTAGTACCACGCAATCTCCATGAAGCTCTGAAAAAGTTAGAGGTACCATCATCAATATACATTAAAATGCAGAAGGCAGTAGTTCTTGGTACATGCAACATGGTCAGAAAATTTCTCGGGGAATAAAAAGAAAAAACAAACAAAGCTTCTTTACCTTGGTTTGACCCGTAAAGATAGTACCTACCGTTTAAAATACGAGATAAACCAAAAATAATAATAATAATAATAATAATAATAATAATAATAATAATAATAATAATAATAATAATAATAATAATAATAATAATAATAATAATAATAATAATAATAATAATAATAATAATAATAATAATAATAATAATAATAATAATAATAATAATAATAATAATAATAATAATAATAATAATAATAATAATAATAATAATAATAATAATAATAATAATAATAATAATAATAATAATAATAATAATAATAATAATAATAATAATAATAATAATAATAATAATAATAATAATAATAATAATAATAATAATAATAATAATAATAATAATAATAATAATAATAATAATAATAATAATAATAATAATAATAATAATAATAATAATAATAATAATAATAATAATAATAATAATAATAATAATAATAATAATAATAATAATAATAATAATAATAATAATAATAATAATAATAATAATAATAATAATAATAATAATAATAATAATAATAATAATAATAATAATAATAATAATAATAATAATAATAATAATAATAATAATAATAATAATAATAATAATAATAATAATAATAATAATAATAATAATAATAATAATAATAATAATAATAATAATAATAATAATAATAACAAATGAATCTTTTCACTTGTTTTATAAATCAATATTCTTTTATTAAAACCAAAAAATATATTTTTTAATTACGAATTCTAGAAAATAATACTGTCAATACACGCTAAATCCCCCTTTAGTACATATCTTAGTTGGCGCTGCCGTCAGACACGGAGCGATTGCGAATACCGAATGGATTAGACAATAAACAGGGACTACCCAAAGTTTCCTACACAGAAATTTACAGGTACTTTTGTTAATTAAAAACTCTCAGATCTATAGGATAAACGGTTCCTTAGAATCCTTAGATATGGCCAGTATTCTCTCTTATTTGGACACCCGGTACTTCAATATTGATTTGACAGACTTTACCTTGGTATACGTTTTTCAGCATTTTTTTTGTTTATTTTTGAAAATTAGGTTATGATATAGTTATGCACCTATATTTAGTTACCAGTTTCAGTTAGCAAGAAGACATTTTTATTTAAATTTTGTATAAAAAAATCAAGTAGAAATATATTTACTGTCCATTTTTCCCTTATATGTCTTTCCGTGACAATAAAAGATGGGATAATGGACAAACAATAAGCTGCACGGTTCTTTTATACAGTATCGGCTATCGAACGCCTTCCAATACGGCATGCACAAGTGCGGGTGAAAACTACAGAGAGTTTGGATTACTACAATAGTCTGGCCTTTTGGTTATATCCAGTGCCATTAAAAAAAAAAAAAAAAACTACAGAGAGTTAGCATTAGAGCGAGCCGATAACGAATAATATCAACGATGCCAGTTTATACGACCCGGAAAACGGCAACGCGGTCAGGCCGTATAAACTAGCAACGCTGATATTATTCATTTCCTGCTCGCCCTAATGCCAATTTTCTATAGTTTTAACATGCAATTTTCACTTGCAAAGTGTGCTAAAACATTCAATGGCCTACACTGTATACAAAAAGTTTTGTTGGCAATTGGGATACTGCAATGAGCCATGGGTAGCACATGTGATAATTAAGGAGGTAGATGTAAATTGAGTTAAATCATCATAATTTTGGGCTGCCCAACACGCACCTGTATACAGGGTGATTTCTAAGTTGATACTTTTTCAACTATGTATACAACTACTTAAAAAAAAACTTTTTAAAATAACTCAAAAATTATTTTCATTCACATGAGCCATTTTTATTTTTAAACAATCCCAAACTAACTGAAATCTACACGAGATGAACTGACAACAAATTGAGATATCACTGATTGACACCAACAATTTTTTTTGTTAGCCATCGTGTATCATAGAGATTGTTTTCGACTTTTTAAATAAACTTATCTCCCTTATTTTTAAGTTATTTAAAAAAAATATTTGAAAAAGTTGTTTCTTTTAAGTAGTTGTATCACTGAACTGTAATAGCAAAGAGTAATAGAGTTCAGTGAGTTGTATACACATGCCGCGTTTGAGAATCCACATCGGATGCATCTGAGATGTAGTAAATATTTGATCACGTGATTCAGTATACGTAAATGTAATGGGACAGATGTGGATAAAAAAACGCTCGAGATGTAAAAAATGCATCCGATGTCTATGATCCGATGTGGATTCTCAAACGCGGCAGATCGTATGCAAGGTTCTGCTGTGACGTCACAAATTAACATTTGCCATCGCACCATAGATAAATTAATATAAAACATATGCATCGCACTTTACAAACAGATTTGAGAAACTAGACTATCCTGTTCAAGAGTATATAATCTTTGGTTGTGACTGCAGTAGCTAAATAGAGGCGGCCATTAAAAAAAAGTAGAAACAGGTTAAAGTTAGAGGTTATGTTCAAAAAGTTTTTTGGATGTTGTACAGTTATTGTGGACAATATTGTAGATTATTTTATTTATTATATTTAGTTTATAAATATTATGGATATTGATCTCTCTAGACCTAATCTAGAAGCAGATAATGCAGTATGTATATTTATGAATAATTTTAAAACCAATACCCAAAATATAATTTTATTTCAGCTAGAACAAATTAGTTTACTCAGGCAGAAATTAAGTGAATTACAAGCCAATATTACTTGTGGTTTGCAACCAACTACTAGTGATAATGATTTAAATAAATTGATTACTCACAATATCAAACTGAAACATCGTCTTGCAATTTTAAATAGGGTGAGCTCAATATAATGATGCAATAGTTATTTTTCTTAAATACTTCAGTTATGTATTTATTTAATTATCATTTGAAACTAACTATATTTTAGGCAATATCCAAGTATTCAATAAAACAGCCATTATCTGTTGATCCAACAAGAATGCAGAGCATTACTGATATCCTTACAGAATTATTTTCAATGGCCATTACCAGTGCCTGTCCTGATATAACTGATCCTCCTGTGGTTATTGCTCTTTCTGCCAATCCAAAATTTAAAGATTACCAATGTAATTCTGCTCTGCCATTGGCCAATATCTATAAGCAACTTGGCAAGAAAGTTGCACCTAAAGATATTGCTCAGAAAATTGTGGATAATTTACCTGATCATGAGATAATTGCAGGATTAGAAATAGCAGGACCTGGTTTTATAAATATTGGTCTCAGTAAGGATTTTGCTTTAAAGAACTTATCTTGTATTTTTGAACATGGTGTTAAACCTCCAATAATTCCCAAGAAACTTAAGGTTTTAGTTGATTTTTCATCTCCTAATATTGCAAAAGAAATGCATGTTGGTCATTTAAGGTTAGTCTAATTAATGTCCTCTTTTGGTTTTAATTCATATATTTTTTATGGTTATAATTTAAGTATTTATTCAGTTCCAAAATTATACTTTTTCAACTTTTAGGTCAACAATCATTGGAGATAGCATCAGTCGACTATTAGAATTTTTGGGACATGATGTGTTAAGAATAAACCATGTAGGTGACTGGGGGACTCAATTTGGTATGTTAATTGCTCACCTTCAAGATAGGTTCCCTGATTACCAAACTAAATCCCCACCTATTGGTGATCTACAAGCATTTTACAAAGAATCTAAACAGAGATTCGATGAAGATGAGGAATTCAAGAAGAGGGCATATGCAAGTGTTGTTAAGTTGCAATCTTTTGATCCTGAGCACAAGAAAGCTTGGGAACTAATATGTGATGTTTCTAGAAAAGGTAAAGTAAAAAATTTTAATAGTTTTGGAGATTCTCCATGATAATTTTGAATACACACTTTGAGAAAGGTACATATTATTTTATTTCTGTCTACTTTTAGAATTCCAAAAAATATATGACTGTTTAGATATAAAACTCATTGAGAGAGGAGAATCTTTTTATCAGAAAAGAATGGAACTTATAGTTAAAGAACTTGAAGAAAAAGGGTTTTTAGAACATGATGAAGGACGCAAGGTTATGTGGGGTGATCAATCAATTCCATTGACCATTGTCAAGACAGATGGAGGTTTTACATATGATACATCTGACATGGCAGCCATAAAGCAACGTCTTTGTGAAGAAAATGCTGAATGGGTCATTTATATTACTGATGCAGGTCAGTGTTTATAATTTAATTTAAGGTCACTACAATTTCAATTAATGATTTGCTTTATTTTAGTTTGAAAACATATTATCTTAGTATTTAAATTACAAGGTTATATTCTTTAAAGATGTACAACTACTAAATTTGCTGATTTAATATTAAGTTTGCAATTACATTACAGGTCAAGCTACTCACTTCCAAGTTCTTTTTGGTTGTGCCAAAAAAGCTGGAATCTTGGATCCAGCTATTCACAGGGTAGATCATGTTGGTTTTGGTGTTGTTTTGGGAGAAGACAAGAAAAAGTTCAAGACCCGGTCTGGAGAAACTGTTAGGTTGCTTGATTTATTGGAAGAAGGATTGAAAAGAGCACTTGATAAATTAAAAGAAAAAGAACGGGACAAGGTAAGAAGAATAAAAGATTGTTTCTTAAAGTATATATTGTTTATTATACAGGGTGTCCCAATGAAAAGTAGCCCATTTCCAGAGCTTATAACTTTTAAACACCTAATCATAGAAACGTACGGTTTTTGCTGATATGTGTTATTTTGCTATAAGTTTTGCTTCAGTGACACAGAAATTATGTATTACCTATACAGGGTGTTTTTTAAAAATCTCCTCTTTTATAAGTTCTGGAAACGGGCTACTTTTCATTGGGACACTCTGTATAATAGAATTATTTGAAACATTTCTTTTTTTAATATACACACATCTCCATAATTCTTGAACCCCCTTATGTTCGTCAAAATGAGACACTATTATTATAAGTCAAGAAGTGTATTACATAGTACATTTAATTTGGTTATGTATCCAATGCAAATTGGCTGAATTAAATTTTAAATGAACAAGAAAAAAAATACAAAGAAAAATAATGAATAATAAAATGATTACCAGAATTTGAAATCCAGAAGAAACATTCTTTAGAGCGAAATCAAAGATGCGTTAATATTCGGTGAGGTCTTTCCTGTTCTGTAGTAAGGTGTTAACTCACCTATGCATGGAAACAATGAGGGCGTTAATGGTATTCATTGGGATGTTGTTCCATTCTTCTTGGGCCACGACTGTGAGTTCCTGAAGGGTGATAAGAGGTTTAATTATGTTTGAGATTGCTCGTCCAACGATATCCCACATGTGCTCAATGGGATTTATGTCTGGCGAATTTGCTGGCCACAGTAATCTTTGAATATTCTGAATCTCTAGTGCATTCTGTACTCTCCTCTTGCGATGGGGCCTAGCATTGTCATCTATGAAAATGAAATTGGCTCCAATTTCATTTCGGAGAGAATAAATAATGGGTTCAGTAATGTTTCAAACATATCTATCCCCTGTCATAGTGTCTGGAATGGGAATAAGCTGCTTACAACGAACATGAGTTGTGCCTCCCCAAAACATTACTGTCTCTCCTTGGTATGGAACGACTCCTATGGCAAAAGAAAGTCTTTCTGGTCGCCCTGACCCTCTCCAAAATTTGGGTCGCCGACTATCACTAATTAAACCAAATCATGCAAAGCCACTATTCTTGCTCTATTGAACACTGAAATTCTATTGCTAAGCATAATTGCGAAGAAAACCTCAACAATCACTTAAACATGCTAAATCAGTATGAACCACTTTTTGAACATTGGTATCTAAAATTGTTGGAAATTGTTTTTGCAAACATTTTTAGATAGGTAGCAACGGTGAAATAAATAAACATTAAATGTACAAAAAAGCAGCCATGATAAATATTTGGTTTTAACATTTACGAGGGGGGTCCAAGAATTTTGGCGATGTATGTAATAATAGTATTTTAGAATTAAATATTTAGTGGGTTTTAGTTGCTGAATAAACTTTGAAACCATTTACAAAAAACGTTCAATGTCTTAACACTTTTAATGCCTTCAAACTAATATATATATAAAAAAAATAATTTCAAATGAGCACTATTTTTTCTTATAATTGCCATTGAGTCTTAATATGTTAATTTGGAATACAATTGTATGAAAATTTATATAAACTGAGCTATAGGAAAATTTAAATTTATATTGTAATGTACTGGTAACTACTGGTGCAGTTTCCTTAAATACTAATAATAATTGTCCAGTCTTTCGCAAATTTAGTTGTTTTCTTTTAATAGAGTAAAATGCAGAGAAAACTTTAATTATCCATTGCTTTGATTGTAGGTATTGACCCCTGAAGAATTAAAAAAAGCTCAAGAATCAGTTGCTTATGGATGCATTAAATATGCAGATTTATCTCATAACAGAAACCATGAATATATATTTTCATTTGACAAGATGTTAGAAGATAAAGGCAACACAGCTGTATATCTCCTATATGCCCTAACCCGCATCCGATCCATAGCACGTACAGCTAATTTTACCCCAGAGAAGATTAGAGAATTGAGTAAAACGCACCAAATAACATTAGAACATGAGAAAGAATGGAAGCTTGCGAAAGTTCTTCTCCGTTTTCCGGATGTACTTCTCAAAATAACAAAGGATCTGTTTCTTCATCCTTTATGCGAGTATGTATATGAGATAGCAACTACTTTCACGGAGTTTTATGATAACTGTTACTGTATCGAGAAAGATACATCTGGAGATATTGTTAAAGTTAATGTTGGACGGATTTTGTTAACAGAAGCTGCTGCTGTGATTATGGCGCAGTGCTTTGATATTCTTGGATTGAAACCTGTTGAAAAAATGTAAATAAACGTTTTTAATGCCAATTTTTAAGTTTTTTTTATTTAATAATTTTTTAGTTGTCAAAATAATTTATATATTTTTTTTTTATTTGTATCAAATTAGTTTTTTAGGCGACTGACATAAAAAATGACATTTTACGGATTTATTAACATCCCTAAAATGTCACGTTATTTATAAACACATATTTATCATACTTATCGTTAGTAATTCTGTACAAATTTTATTAGTTAATGATGTATTTTTATTCGATCAATAAAAATTCGAAACAATTCTTGCATTTAAGCCTCTTTTCAAAAACAAGAATGTAAAAAAATATCGGCTGTACTTGACGAGACAGTCGCCTAAAAGATGTTGTGTGCAACCGGCCGTATGATCTTTTTTGGCCTAACCAGAAGTTGCTTGGCCTCGGCAACGCCTCGTCTGAAAATTTCTGGTACGACCAAAATTGATCAACTTTATGGCATTGGTACACAAATAACTATTTTATACAAGAAGAGTGAAAACAATATCGTTTATGTATTCACTTTTATATTTGTTTGTCTAATAAATTCATGTAATGTGATATCAGTTAATAACTTTTCCTTTTTGCCTTCTATTTAAATTCGACTTTATTAGTTGTTTTTTGTTGCAATTGGTGACCTTTGATTACTAGGCTATTTAAGTGAAGGTAGTAGGACCATTCATTTATTAAGTTTGTCAGGTTTTTTAACATGTTGTGGAACGGTCCCTTTAATATAGAGATTTGGCATGAACTGTGCCTTTACATATTTGTTACTCTCAGGGTTGACAACTGTACCGGTAATTTTGATTAATGTACCGTATACGGTCCAAAGTCATTACCGTACATAAAAGTACGGTATTTACATCAAAAGTACGGTAAACGTACGGTATTTAGAACAGAATTAGCAAAGACTTTGAGTTGTGTAAGTGCCAATTCCACCGCTGTGTTAAACGAAGTTTAATGACATTGTCTAATGTAAAAATGTAATTTTAATCTTTTTACAGCACATGTTCTTTAAAAGGACTGGTTTTTACAAAAATATAAGCCAAGGCTTTTTTTTAGAAGGACCAGAGGTTGATTAAAATATGATGAGGATTTTTTTTTAGAAGCTCGACAAAAAGATATTTATACATAGTTTTTCTACAAAATAAAAGTGTACGGTATTGGGAGGCCATGTACAGTAATTTTAATTGCGCGGTACGGTAAATGGAATTTGAAAAGTTGGCAACTCTGGTTACTCTCCATCTCTAAATTCCAGTGATATATCGGAATTCGATTTTTGGTTGAAGGATGCACTGAAGACGTGCGTTTTATGTTTAAGTATATATATTTACTAATAGAGCATTTCTGCTGTTAGGTGAAGACGATAGTAAAATCCTGCAGGACACCAGACCTGAAATGTCGAGCTCTCAAGTAAATAAATACAAATGTTCTTAATTACTGCTACACAACAGTTGAAAATCTTCGAATTTTTGAAAGAAGGTTATTTAAAAAAATAAAAGAAGCATTTGGCAGATTTAAAATGTATTTATCTTTTACCAGTTTAATCTCTTTTTACTGGAATGCTAAAGAAATAATAATAGTATATTTAATAATGCCAGGAACAATATTATACAGAAAAATGGTATGGTATAAGTCAGAAGCCAGGATAAAAATGACTTTACTAGTGCATTTGCTAAGAAATATGGGAAAACCCAGCAAAACCCATATTACCATTGAAAACTACTGTAGATTTCTGTTGATTTCACAAAGTATGCAAAAATTGAATTTTACAATTAATAATTACAATCACTTCGTTTAAGCTGTAAGGCTCAATAGAAATCAAAATTTATTTGACCTTATTTTTGTATTTTTGAAAGCCGATAGACTTAGTGTTTTTTAAATGATCAGGAAGCATATTACATATTATAAAATTGCAAACATTTGTAGCAGTATCCCTTTTCCAGTAGAGTAGTACTGTGCGTCGGTATACAAAAAATATTTATAAACCTTGTGTTGTGATGGTGTTCTGCTATATATTCGTTGGATATACTTTTATTTTTATACACAAACATATGCATATACTGTCAACATATTTAGATTTTTAAAGTGACTACTTAATTATGTAAGCTTCATATTAACCATTATTCAAATTGCTCTTTTTTGTATTACAAAGACTTCTTGACCTCCCCAAAAAATAATTCCATAGCACATTGAGGAATAAAGTAGACCATAATACACTCATATAAGAGAAGTCTGGACTATTATCAACGCAAAGCAAGGCTCTGCTTAGCCTTACACAAAGTAAATGTAGATGTTCCACCCAAGTTAGACGCTCATCAATAATAGCCGAGAAATTTTGTCGATTTAGAATATTCTAGCAATGTACCTATTACATAAGTTAATATCCTCTGGATATTCATTTTTATTACGACTGTGCTTGAAAATTATACAATTAGTTTTAGATAAATTTAATAATAGCGAGTTTTCACCAAACTATTTTAAAATTTTCTCTACAGTATTTGAGGTATCTTTTTCAAGTACTTTGTAATGATTTCTAGATTGTAAGACATTTGTGCCATTGGCATAATTAATGAGAGCTACAGAATCATTTGTAAAAATTTTTGGTAAATAGTTTAGATATAATACAAGTAAAATAGGACCTAAGACACTTTTTTTTTTATTTTTTAAATAATAATTTAAAGGTATTTAGTTTTTAAAAATTCACAAAAATCGTCTATTGGCGAATAGCTATTTAAAACCATATTGTTTTGGCTATTGCCCAGTGAACTGTATATTTAAAATTGAATACCAATACCTCCGGGTGCATGTAGTAGAAATAGTTCACTAATGCTGCTGAAAATGTAGCAAAAATTTTATGAAAACTCCGTACTTTTGGCATTTGGAGTATTCGGACGCATGCGCATTATTGATGTAATCTCATGATTTTACAGTACTGGTTTTTGCAATTTTGAGTGCACTGCTATTCGCGATTTAAATTAATTTTCGGGCGCCTGTCATTTGTCACCTATAAGTAGGATATTTGTTTGCTTACAGTGTGTTTGCTTTGGGCGGGATTTTTGATTGTTTTACTGTTTTTAAATAATATCATTATAATAGTGTTTTTGAGTTTCATTTAGTGTTAATTTATGTTTAGTTTTCGTTCTTTCGTCATAAATATAATATTTATCATGTGTTTATGACTAATTTGTTGGAAATCTTCATCTATCTGGATGCTTCACAAACATCTATAAATATTTGTTTACCAAACGCAGAACATGTTTTATTATGTGATTTAAAGCAAATTTCAGGTATCTAACAGTTATTACTGATAAGACTTGCAACGGCCCACCCCCTATTTTTTGATCGATATTTTATTCTCTGAATTATTTACCTCTCAAGTTTATTTTACTTTAAATTCTATACCTACTGTATTTGGCCTTTTTCCTCAAGTAGTAGAAGTGATCGTCTAGTTAATTAATTGATAATGTATATATCCACGTTGTGATAATGTTCAGTTTGGTGCAAATTAATAAATAAAACCAGACAAATTTATATTTAAACTCTTTTATTTTTCATACTTTAAATGTGATGCAATAATTAGCAAAGTATATTACAATTGGTACTATTTACTGAGATCTCACTTGTCCCGTTCAAACGCAGACCATATTCATTTGCTATCAATATATATTTTATTTAGGTTAATGACTAACGGAGTTAACGAGCAGCGTCTTCGCCAGTTGGTTAACTACTGTGTTGTTGCCCAGACAGCACACCAAATCCTTTGGATATCTACTGAACATCCCAATATCCACTGTATGTCCAGTCCATGGTATCTATTTTATATCCATGAAATATAATTTATAGACATGCAAATGTCCATAAATAATAGTAATTATATGGCAAATTATTAAAAAATTACGCCATTGTGCTCGCCATTGTGGCTAATAGTACTGTTCAGATATTTAAAATTAATTTTTTTAAGTTGAATTCAATATCCCATGGACATCCACTAAATATATCAAAGTCTAGGCGCGAACGCAATCCATCGTGGATATCCACTAGATGTTATTTGATTTTGCTTACTAAGTATAGATGGCGATACCACTTTCGCATTTACTCATGCTCGACCCGCCGTAATTGAGTTCGATCGAAATTTGTGTCCTAATCAGACTCCATTAGAGACTGGAGTCGAGAATTTCCACTTATTGTTGAAGAGTCGTAATAAGGATGACTTTCTTCTTAGTGGGCAAAATCAAAGGCAGAGTCTTGAAAATATTTTTTATCTCTGCTATTTTCTTTCGACGTTATTCAATAATCATTCTTTACTGAACCTCTACTAAAGATACAATATTTTGCTGAATATCCGAATATCTTCTATATTATGGATATAGACGGACATTTGGATATCCATATTAGATCCACGGAATATTTCTGACATCCTGTGGATATATTGGATATCCACAAAAGATATTCTGTGGATATCTCTGCGATTTGGTGTGTTGTCTGGGTGTTTATATTCTTATTTAAGTTGATGACCAACGAAGTTATCGAACAGCGCCAATTTGCCAGTTGGTTAACTATTGTGTTGTTGTTGATTTGATTCTATTCTAGATATACACAGGTTGCCACCCTCTTAGGTAAATATTTCGATGAGTATAGAGGTGATGACCAACCGAAGTAACAAACAGCGCCAATTCGCCAGTTGGTTACTTTACTATGTTGATTTCACCATCTTGGTTTGTACAATTTATCCAAGATAGCACATCTCTGTATATTTCTAAAATATTGATTTTTATAATTTCCATTAAAATGACTCAATATAACCCTGTATATTTGTTAATATTGATTTTTATAATTTCTATTGAAATACTCAAAATGCACTCATCGAAAACAGATGTTATCCTAACTGTCTTTCGGGGTGTATGACCTGAAGGCTATGTGGTTTATTGTTTACATTAATAATATTTTAAAGAAAATGTCAGGCCCTACTTTTAAACGAAACCCCGGTGGTATCTCAAAGAAAGTTACATAAATCTTTTGACTTACCATTGAAAATACAGACATTAGATTATGTACTAATTTCATCTAGCGTTGTGACGGCGTCGATTTAGGTACGTCGCAGCGTTGAGCGTCGCCTCGCGTTATGGCGCCTAGCGTCGTGGTGGAAAGGAAGGTATTTAATATGTATCTGCATTGGGACAGATATATACGGTAGAATTATTTAGGTGGTGCGGGGCGTGACGAAGGGTGTCGACAAGGATATTATGAAGGAAATATCTAGTGACCGCAAGCGTCGGGAAATAGGCGTGAGACGTTGACAGTGTTCGGGGAATAGGATATATTGTAGGATAGACGGTATTTAGGGAGAACATTTTAGAAAAGGTACTGACTGCTGAACTTGAAATATAACTAGATACAAATAATAAATGAATACATCAAATAATAAAAAATGAATGCATGCACATCAAATAATTAAAAATGAATGAATCTGAGATCCTTTGCGTCAAACTTATTATACTAAGTTAATGGCTTTTTGTGTGTCTTAGTTCCTAGAGAAATACGAATGTGGGTGCAAAGGGGGTGGCTTATTTATTATGTGCCTTGAAAGCTTTGTCTATCGAAATATTGTCGAAATCGGCCTTAACATTGAAATTAGAAAGATAAGCGAGTTAAGTGTTTGAATGAAAAGAAATATGTTTTATGATCTAGGTTCCCAGACACGTGCACGAAATTTGGATATTTTTCGGACGTGGTTATAGATATTATTTATTAGGTGTCGTAAATAAGATTTAATTATCTGGGAGATCTTTCGTTAAATGAAGGATTAATAATTTAATAAGAATGCAATATTATATTTAATAAATGGAATTAATAAATTATTAAGATACCTAAATCTTACTATCCTTACTCTTATATTAGGAAGTGAATGGTGTAGTACTTTGTATACATGTAAACGATAGTAGACATAAATGTTTTGCAAAATCTCAATGATGTGAATTTGTAGATATCCATACATTTATAGTAAGAAACAAAATTTTTCGACTCACTCTTGTAAAATAATGAAAACAGTTTTGTTTCGACATTAACACCATATAGATTGTAATTTTCTGGGTGCTTTTTCGCAAATTTCATTTTTAATATAAACACTATCACAAACTATAAGAAATAAACAAATTTACTATGATAAACTGATTTTAAAACAAAATTGTTAAATGAACTGAAAAGTCTTTCCACTTCTTCAAGGGCTAAAAACTCGACGACGTAGCGAAATTTTTTTACTCCTGGCAACTCTGAACAACGTCCTACTTATAGACACCTTCTACAAATTTCCTCCAGAGAGCGTATCACTTAGCTTGAATCCGAATTTCCCCAATAGATGGCCACTTGCAAATACAGGCAACTAGCATTAACCATTAGTGTATTCCGAATTGCTTCTCAATGCATAAATATTTTTTTAACTTGAATAACTCTTAAATGGCTCGAGATAGAAACGAGCGATAAAGAGCATTCTAATGTATCTAACCTCGTCTATATTCAGAGAATAATTGAATCGTCAGTAACTGAGAAAATTACAAAAATAAAAATTGATAAAAACGAACTTCACCCCGTAATTGATCGTGCTTTCAATTTATAAAATTTGCATCAAGCGAGGGTCAGAAATGAAGACATTTCATACCTCCTCGCTCTTCTGTTACCCTGATACAAAATTTGCTTTAAAATAGTCATAAAATGTTATTTAATTTTTTGCCGCCTTCTTAAAATTACATCCTTGCATTTATGTTATCCTGATGCAAAATTCGTCATTAAAATCAAGTTTCAATAACGTGGATAAATTTTTAATTTTAGGATAATAAGAGCGAGGATATATAGGTTTTATTTTAAATGAGCGGGAAAATCTGCTCTGACAGCACGAGAAATTACATGGCGCAGTCCGTTGCTCTGAATCCATAATTTTTTTATTTTTGTGAATTTCTCACTTGCTAATAGTTGAATGATTCTGTAAATACACAAACATAGAGCAGGGCAGATAGGTTAGAGGGCTCTGTGCCGCTCGTGTTAATCTTGCGCCGTTTAAGAGTTATTCAAGTTTAAAATTTTTATATGTAGTGTTGTATATATTTGACAGGCTACACAGAATACATCAGCTTGTAATAGTGGTAACCTATTCTTTTAGGGAATAGCTAAAACCGTATATATTATAGTAGTTATTTTAGTGGATAGGTTAATCCCCTTGAATTTAGAAAGTTCATTTTAGTATTGGCTACATATCGGACCCCTACTTTACAATCTTATATGATAAATACGAAATGTACAATCAATAAATTTGTAGAATAATTCATATCCTTTAACATTTTGAACTTTTAATTTCACATAAGAGACAAAAGAGATTGAAATCTCAAAAGTGTGCTGTTCTAAATTTTAATAGAATATTTTTTGCAGATATTAATAAAAAATGTAAATAAATCAGAATCTGTTGTTATATGAAAAAGAGCAAAGTCGGATCTGAGATTGTTCCTGGCGAAATGGCGTCTTCTAGCAAGCGTGAACTGTAAATATCAAAGACGCCACTTCTCAGGAGTCTTAATGCTGATTGTTTCCTATATACTGTTGGACAAGATTTAGATATAAAACAAGTAGAAGTTAAATAAAAAGTTTTTAATTTAATAATAATTCTAATGTATAATTTTTACATATTTTTTTTGTTGAGAATTGCACATAATTAAAAACAAACACTGATTTCAAGAAATGTCTACTACAAGGATCTATAATAAAAGTACTTTAAAATAGCGTCACTTAATAATAATCTTTGGATTCAAAAAAATCAGATCTTAATAAACAATTAAACATCTAAAAAACAAAAATTTGGCACGTCATGAGTATTGGCGAGATATTTATGAAAGAACGAGTCCAAGTCTTGCGTAACATATGTTTTTTCTCAATCTGACGATTTCCCAATAAACGTCGTGAGCTGCAACAAAAAAAAATATAATGTTTTTTTATTCATGGTGGAACTTTTATTAAATGATCCTCGAACATACAGGGTGTTTGTAAATAAGTGCAAAATATTTTAAGGGGTGGCTGCCGAAGTAATTTTGTTAAAAAAGTTTCTACAGTGAGCATCATAAGTCTTACCCCCCCCCCTATCTAACTCGTTACTGGAGCCTTGTTAGGAAAATCGCCGAGACACGTCGATTTTTGATTTCTACAATGTACATTTTTGTATGAATATTTTACCCTTAATTTCATCCCTTACTGGAGGGGAGCAACCTTTTCGAAAAATTTAAATGGCATGGGGTGGTGAGTGATAGCTCATTTGAAAGGCGGTTTTATTCTCTATTCAACAGTGCAAAAAATTTTGAAATTTGCTTCATTAATTCTCGACTAATTATTGTTACAGAATAAAGAAAATTAACGTAGCCCTAGAATTAAAATTCGGCCCTGCATGATATTGGTTTTGGTTCAGACGTGAAGTAAGACTTTTTGCCATTAGATAAGATCACTGTTAGTTTAGTTGCTTTCCTATTTGTGATGTTTTGTTATTTTTAAACATTAATAAATCAACACGTAATAAAGCAAATTTCAAAATTTTTTGCACGGTTGAATAGAGAATAAAACCCCCTTTCAAATAAGCTATCACTCACTACCCCATGCCATTTAAATTTTTCGAAAGGGTTGCTTCTCTCCAGTAAGGGATGAAATTAATTCAAAAATGTACATTGTTGAAATCAAAAATCGACGTATCTCGTCGATTTTCCTAACAAGACTCCAGTAAGGAGTTAGATAGGGGGGGTAAGACTTATGATGCTCACTGTATAAATGTTGGTCTAAGATACAAATTTTAATTTATTTATTTTTATTAAATATTTCAAAGAGTTTTAAAGATATTGACTCGAAATTTGCAAAACGGCTTGGAGGGATAAATGTTCATTTTTTTGGGGTGGTCCGAATATTTGTACTCGCACCAGTGGCGTTCATGCGAGAATGCATCAACTTTTTTAAATAAAAAAACAAATTGTTGTGCCACTGGCTTTTGCACATTCTGATATTTAAAAAATAATTTCGGCAACCACCCCCTAAAATCTTTCGCACTTAATTACAGATACCCTGTATACATTTAAGCTCAAGCCAATAGACAAGGAGTAAAAGTAAGGACTCTGGGTCTTGATAGACCTTTTACAGTAACACAGTACGTAATAATACTTCCTGGCAGAATTTACACAGTTTATTCTGATAGGCAGTTTATAATACGTTAACTTCGGGTCGTTCGAGACTAACGGGATACTCCTTGCAGAAATATCTTCATCTGATGGATTTCACAATGATCACACACGTGTAGACTCTGCATGGAAGAAGAAGAAGAAACCTTATATCACGTTATCTTCGAATGCGAAGCTCTAGGCTAGGAGGTGCCACACTCTTTTGGGGCTAGAACTTTAACGAGCACCCCAGGAAAAGTTGGTAGGAAACCTAGTAAAACTAACCAAAGGCACGTGACTATTCAAAGATAGTACCTGGATACGAAGAAAGCGGAGGAATCTAACCCCTACCTATTTGTAATAGATAAAGATATATCGTTTTTAATAGCAGTATATGAATGTATGGACCAAATAAAGAGATAATCCATTCTACGGCCGAGTAGAGTTGGAAACGGCGTTAAAAATTTATAATGCTACTCTTGACAATGGCATGGTGAAAATAATATTTTTAGCTTGTTGCTTTTTGTTCAAATGGTTCTTACGTGTATAGAGACTTGTAATTATAATGTGTCTTACAACTTACCAGAACTCTTAACTAATCCTCCTTCGATGTATTTGAGGTAATTTAAAAAATCACAGACAGCAATTATCTGAAAATAAACAATTTTTGTTAAGGTTAAAATTCCTTACATCATGCGATGTACGATTAAAAGCTTTGGAAAACTTAAATATTGCCTTACCCTATTTCGGCATATTTGTGATATGTTGTACCAGTCATCGTTTTCTCCGATATTCATCCTGTAGAAACATAACCTTGGAACTTCCAATAATGCGCACTTTCTGTAAACAAAAATTAAGATTTGTTTAGGACCGATTCCACCGTTGTGTTAAACGGAGATTAAAATGACATTGTTAATGTAAAAATATCATTTTAAACTCCGTTTAACACAACGGTGGAATCGGTCCTTAGAGACATAAAACATGATTGAAATGTACGGAATGTTTTAATTATTTTATAATAACTTTGGTCAGAGACGGATCTAATAATAATAATAATAATATAATGTGTTTATTATCCAAAAGATACAGAAATTTACAACTAAGAATCAATATTAATTTGCTAACAAACAAAAATAAAGCCACAGAAGTAAAAATTTAAAAATTCTACTTGTGCGTGGCACGAAACAATAAAGGTAATTAATTACGTAAATATAAATAAATCGGTATATAAATCTAAATTGGTATACATGTCTAAATCGGTATATGGGTGATTCTCGGATAACTGTGATTTTTTGTGTCCAGTGTTTTATTTATCGTTTAGCATAAGTTTTCTTCATCAAAAAGTTATTAATATTATAAATTTAGAGGTATTTTACAACAGACATTATGAATTAGATCATAAACCTTCGTAATTTGTTTTTAAGCTGCATATAAATATACTCGAAATGTCAGTACCGTGGCATGTCCGATTCTCATTTTTGAAATTAAATATATAAATTTCTATCAAAATTCATTTTCTAATATAAAATTTACCTCTTATAACTACAATCCAATGCATATTGCATTGAGTTTTATTGCAATTTTATACCAATCTTGCGATTGGTAAAAAAAAAATAATCATTTATATGTCAGTACCGTGGAAATAATGTCAGTACTGTGGCATTAAAAATTTTAAATTTTGTCACAGTTTTTGTTGTGTCGTAGCTGTAGTAGAACCACTTTGCAGGCTTTATTCTGTGCATAAATAGAAAACAAAAACGCGTAAAACAAACGTTTTAAAACATTTTTAACTTTAGAAAAATGTAAGTTGTAAAAATCACAGTTACACGAGAATCACCCAAATATGTCTAAATCGGTATACATGCCTAGCGTTTGAATGCCTAGAATGACAATGGACGTGTCGTTAGTTCGATTCCTGCTCTGGTCAAGCGATTTTAATAAAAAAAAAATAATAAATGCTGTATAGCGGGTTGCGAAAATAATAAATAAATTATTAATAATATAAAATAGTGTGTGGTGAGTTGCAGTTGTGTAAAAAAAGTAGGAATCCCAGGTAGCACAAATACGTCTTACGGACGTTTTAAAAACGCACTGCTTGGACATTCAGGACATCTTTACAAAGTCCCTTTCACGGACGTGGACGTCTTACGGACGTCTTTGGAACGTCCATTGTTAATAATCAGGATCTCTTAAGAACGTCAATTTAAGAACATTCCATGGACATTTTCAAAAGCTCAAATGAGGAATAACAGGATGTTTAAGGAAATTAGTGAAAATATTGAATAATTCCAAAAAAAAATATTTGGAAGCAAATAACCTATGAATAATAAAATTATTAAAACTTTTTCGTCTCCTCTACTTTGCTCTTTTCAACCATGGGAAATAGTTCCATATATATTTAAGATATTCAAATATTCTTCTGTTTGTATACTTTTTGTGTACTACAATATTATGTTTAAATTAATATCACCAATAAATATACCTACGTCATGATCGTCGAAGTTTCGAAAATAATTAAGTAATCCGTGATTGAAATTATTTGCATTTGAATTTGGTGATCGGTAAAGTGCTGTTAATATGATATTTTTATTGTAATATTTTTTGTTAATTTTTAGTGCATTTGCATCAATTTTCTTTGTTTTACAAATATAATTGAATTTTTATTATTTTTACCTTCATTATATAGAATATTATAACCGTTTAAATTAAAAATGTTTAGGTCAAATATTTGATGTGTTTCGGTGAAAACATCAAATTTATTTGAAAGGCTAGCAATATCACAATATTTTTACTAATGACTAATGTTTATATGAAGAAGGTTTAAAAATAATTTGAATTTTCATATATAACTGGCTAAGTCGCAAACTTCAAAAGTATCTACTGTTTCATTATTATAATCACGAATAAATTCATCCATTTTTATACTTAATAAAAACAAATTTATCTAAATACTTAGACCCCCATGTAAAAATATATAAAAAAACCGCCCATGTACGAGTTGGACTCGCGCATGAAGGGTTCCGCACCATAGTACAAGATTTAGTACTATGTAGGTACTTTTTAAATACTTCATTATGATCTAGGAAAAAAAGGCAAAAAAAACCTGTTTCTAGTAGGACAGCTATTTTAATTTTTGATTTATTTTTATTATTTGTTGCTATGGCAGGCAACAAAAATACCCATTCTGACAGACAGACGGACGAACAGCGGAGGCTTAGTGATATGGTCCCGTTGGTTAACCTTCGGGTACGGAACCCTAAAAAGTTCTTCCCAAAGCTTTAATTAAATAATCATAGTACCAATTTATTACAAAAAAACATGACTTTCTCAAAATACTTTAGAAGAGGGAATTTGGTAGGGAATTTAAAGAATTTACAGGTTTAAAGGAATTTAAGAGTATTGAAATTTAAAACAAATATCATAAATCATAAACGAAAAACGATATTAACTGAAACTTTCAGGAAAAATCAAGCTCTATAAGAGGTCAAAGTCTGTGAATAAAAATGGAAGGAATAAGGGGGGGGGGGTTAAAATAAAAAAAAAATCAGAAAAGAAAAGCGATATCAACACGAAATATTTAGTAAAAATCAAGCTCTATATAATAGAATGAAGCTTATTGATTCTGAAAAAAAATCTGAATAAAATAGGGGGTTGAAATATTAAAAAAAAAATCTAACTCATCAAAAACAAAAACGATATCAAGTTGAAATATTCAGAAAAAATTAAGGTGATTGAAGCCTATTGATTCTGAAAAAATCATTAAAAAGACAGGTCTGTTAAACTGTGAAGAGAAAGAATATGCCAAGCATTAGTTTCCTTCCTTCTAGTTTATAATCTCAATAACTTAAAAATATACTGACAATTTGTTTGACAGAAATTCCACTTATTTAAAATTTTAAAAAATAATAGCAGTCTGGTGACCAAATATGAACTATGATCTGTGATTGGTGTATTTTATATCCGTGCGGTGTTTATGTAGGTAGAGTGTATATGACATATATTTGTGCAGTTGAACGCAATGGCCTTCTTTTTCGTTATGTAGTCTGTGCGTTGATAGCTAGTATGAAAAAATATTTAAAAAGGGCAAAATTCGTAAGGTTTATTTGATGAAAGACGTTGGTCTCAAAGTAAGTGTCGTATAGCCCCTAGTTCATAGAAGCCTGTTAAAGATAATATGTGGTTGTACCATCAGATGGTTTTTTTTGTAAGGTAATAAAAAACATTGTATTCTTGATTACTGACTATTTTTTGTAGTAAATTTTTTGAAAAAATGGCATTTCTAAAATAGTCAAACTATTGCTAAGTGACAAAATATATTGATTTTCGAAATATAATTTATAATTTTCTCATATTTATTGGCTTCGCTAAAACTGAAAGAAAGACGAAACTTATTAAAAGTTTTCGAGGAAAGAAAATTGACTTTATCATCTATGCTGTCGAACTCATACGAACGTGCACATAATAGTTCGTTAAGGTTAAATACGTTTTCTAAATGAGTTTATTAAACTTTCTGACAAGGCGGAAAGAAGACTTTTTCACTCTTTATTCAATTATTGACAGCAACTAAGTATTTTAGGAAAGCTTCTAAACTCACATATATAAATATAATGAAATATTTTATAATTTAACTTTCTTAAATTGTAAAAAAAATATATTATATTTTTTAAGTTTATACGAATTTTTAATCACATTTATACCAAAATATATTTTAATTCATGGCTTAACGCTTACACGAATGAGTACTATTTCATGGGTGAGAAATGCCGGAGAGGCTAGCCGCGAGATTAGTGCGCATCCACATTTTCACAACAGTTAAGCAGTGATCTCGCCGATCACGTCGTAGTTGAGTGACCGCTGGGACGTTCCGTCATGGGCTGTGACACCATGGGACTAGCGGTTAACCATCAACGACGTGGAATGAATGGGGGAGTGAATTGGTGAATGGGAAAGTAGGGTGAAAAACTAAAAAAAAGGTATAAAATAATATCGAGGTGGGGATAAAAAATATATATATATTGTAGATGGGAATTATCTAAAAAAGAGTGAACAAGTAAATAAATGCAATTAAATCGATCTGATTCTGACTTATTTTTAAATGTTTGTCGTTTGTTTCCACTGCTTTGGTTATTAGCCTCCATATTCTGTGTAGGCGTTGTTGCTATTTCTCAGAGCCACATTTAAGAACAGAATTATTAATTAGAACCTAACAGTACATGATCCAAGAACAGAATTATTAATTAGAACCTAACAGTACATGATCCAAGAAAAGTACAAGTTTACAATATTTTATTGCAGAAATTTTAGGAAAACATCGATACAAAAAATCTAAGAGACTTAAGTTTAATCACGGTGTAAAAATGAATGTTAATGTTACCATTTTTGTTGAATATTCATACACTCTCAAAATCTGTTAATGTGTACGAGCGAATTTTGTATTGCCGGCAGACTCCATTGAGACTGGAGTCGATATTGTCTATTTCTTGCTGATGAGTCCTAATAAGGACGAAACCGGTGCAATGATTTTCTCCTTAGGAAGCAAAATTAGAGTTTTGAAAATTATTTTCTATTTCTGCTATTTACCTTTTGATATAATGCAATGCCCGTTGCGGGATTAGTCAAAGAAGTAGCTGTTTTCAGGAGGTAAATGTTCACTTGTTATTTCAGTGACACAAGTTTTCCCTTTTTCCTTTGTTTTTAACAGCAAACTCTGGCACCCTCTACTTTTTGCATTTATCATTATAACGTAGTGATCCAATCAGATAAATTGTTGAAAATATTGTTGACTACAACTTTTATATGAAACATTTTCTACAACTACTAACCCTTTTCGCGAAAACAGGATTAAACAAAAATTTTATAACTCAAAATTTTCAAATTCTTAATTTAAGATTCTTTATTGGTCACCTAAAACCATGCATGAATTACAATCGCGTAAAAAGTTTTTTCCAAAAAAACCCCTTTTTCTTTCTTATTTTTCGTGTATCTTTTATCTCTGTATCTATAAAGTGTGGAGGGTGCAGGTCAATGAACTGGAGTGGGGTAGAATGCTTGTCAATAGGCTTGAGATGCGACTCTATGGGCGAAGACAGGTTATTTTTCATCTCACTCGGGAGTATTTATAACGACCATTTTCTATTTCACTTTGTTATTGTCTGATCCACCAGCCTGTGGATTGAACAATAACAATGTGAAACAGAAAATGGTTATTATAAATACTTCCGAGTAAGATGAGAAATAAAAATGACTGCGCCCATAGAGTCGCATCTTGTTCAATTGATAAAATATGCACAATAGCTTTCTACCCCACTCCAGTTCATTGGTGCAGGTTAACCGACGGCACTTAAACCTTTTATGCTGTTATGAGGTTAGTTTTATTTTAGAAATGATAAGTGTTTTGTGAGAATCCAGAATTACATATTTCCTTTAATAATCCCATCTAAAATAATAAATTACATAAACTTAACAACTTACTTCGGAAACATAGCCTTGCTCTTGTCACCTATGGCCTCGATCAGAATGGTTCCGGTTTCCACAGCTCGGATAACTCGTTCATTCAAATCTTTGTTGTTGAAATGCAAACACAAATCAATGTCTTCCTTGTAAATTCGCTGAATGAATGGATCGTCCTTTTCCAAAACTGGTTTCTGTCGCCAAGTAAGGAATTCTTTGTGAATCACTGGGTCAACCTACAAAATTGCATAATCGATAATAAAAGACCTTACATCGGAAAAGCAGTGGATGTTCTCAATTTTATTGAAAAAAAAAATAAATAAAAATGTAAGTAGGCAACACATTATTTCACTTTTTCAATAATGTGGATAGTTATAAAGTTGGCTATTTTTAGGTCACTTATCAACAAAAAAATATATTTCGAAGACAAACATTAATTCTAATCATTTTTGTTATTTATGCAATGACGAAAAAATTTTAAAGGTGTAAAATTGTTTCTGTCGCCCTTATTTTACGGTAAAATCACGATGTCAATTAATTCTCCAACAAAACCTTATGTACGCCTATGATGTTGCATCGTTATTAGCAGGGGCATAAGTTGGAAAGGCTTTTGGTAGGTAAAGAGGGAGTAAAACCACAGCTTATACAATACAGCTCCACAACTCCGTGTCGGCGTCTTTGATCTGGCGGTCGAGAACCAAGCAAGACGGAATGGTGCTATCTCTGTTAGATTCAAGGGAAAAGTTGGGCCCGGATTAAACAATTTTTTTATTATTGAAAAAATTGAAAACCTTGGCGTAATAAGGTTGGTCACATGCCATATTAAGTAAGTTTTGGGAAATTACATTTTTAATTTGTTTTAAATCTTTCAAATATAATTAAAAAAATTATTTAAATATAAATATTACGAAAAATAGCACATCTTTCGGATTAGAGGTAAAATAATTTATATATGGCTAGTAAAATCCTCGTTAACAAATGTTTTGAGCTAAAACAGTCACTTCACGACAAATTGTGGCTTGGATCCATTTTACACCAAGGACTTCAATTGTTAAAGAATTGTGTCACGCTCGTGGATGCAAATCAAGTGGTACCCCCGTGTCTCTGGCAAGTGTTACTCTTCGCGCAAAGGGTTTATACCTAGATAAACGAATGCTTCGACTGAGGTCTGGGAACTCTATGGTATTTTGGAATTATAAAGAATGTGTGCTTTTGTTTTAACAATATTGGTTATATTTAGATGTATTTTTATTATTTGAAATACAGATTTGTAGAAGTTATACTTTGACAGTTTTTATTAATATAATATATTCAATTTTTATCTGACCATACCGAAGTAGGAAATTTTAAAACTTTATAGTAATGTGAAATTTGAATTACAATATTACAAGATATAACATAATTAGTACTTATTTTAGGTAGGTACTAAATTTGTACTTGGAGAAAGTAGTATATTTCTGATGTAAAACTTAAACCAAGAAAACAAATAAATTGTAGTTTGTTCAACAAGGGTGGATATGATAGCCATAGCCATATCACACAAAGACGAAGTTTGAGCACGACGTCGTAGGCGGAGAACTCAATCGTCTGATTGTGATATGAACAATCTACTCGATATGGTCAGTATATTTTTTCTACGACCCACTAACGAAAATCTACAAATTTAAAAAATTATTTTAGGTTATTTAGACAAAATAACTAATTTTAAAATAATTTACGAAGTTGACTAATTTATAAAATAAAATAAACATGAAAAATTAATTAGTCCTCGGCCTAGATTCGATCCCGGACTTTTCGCGTGGAAGGCAGATGCTCTGTCTTCATCTTCACCGAAACTTTCAGGACTTTAGTTTTAATACTCGTAATTAAATTAGTATCATGTAGTTTAATTAAAATTTATTTTTTTTTAAATGTGGACACAATAGAAACAAAAATGCTATTATTTATCGAGTCTGCACAAAAATTTTAATGTATATTTAATATCAATAACTAAAATATATATTGACAATTAGTTTAACAGAATTGTCACTTATTTAAAAAATTTTAAATAATAGGAGTTGGGTGACCAAAATATGAACTGTGATTTGTAGATTTAATTTTGTTAAAGTGTTCTTACTACCTAAAATGGATATGAAATATATTCGTAGTTGAACACAATAACATACTTTTTCGTTTTGTAGTATGTGCGTAGATTGGCTAATATCCATGCACAGATTACAAAACGAAAAAGTATGCTATTGCCTTCAATTGAACGAATATATTTCATATCCATTCTAGGTAGTGAGAACACTGCAAAAAAAATAAATTCGCCAATCACCGTTCATATTTTGATCAACCGACTGCTATTATTTTTAAAATTTTAAATAAATAACAATTCTGTCAAACTAATTGTCAGTATATTTTTTAGTTATTGAGATTAAACATACAATAAAATAAGTTATTCTTTTGGAAAACGTTAGCATGGATGACTAAAGGGTATTGGGTTAATTAATTCTAAAAGTGTGGTACAAATGTTATTTTTTGTAGCCAATTCTTCAAAATTATTTTGAAATATCTTTTCAATATTGAATATTAGTTCTACAAATTCATCATTTGACAGTTGCAGATTTCCAAATGTATCTGAATTGGCGTTATCATATGCATTTAAAAAGCAATAAAAAGAAAAATCATCTATTTCAACGTGATCTTTGTTATATTTAAGACAGGTATCGCAGGAGTGGATCCGCAAGGCTTTTATTAAAAGGTAACCACACACATATCTGATAAAAATTTTCTGTAGCAATTCGTCTTTACAATAATTTAGGGTGTTAATAATTTCATCATAAAATAAAATACAAGGTGTTCCATTTAAAAAACATACATTTTAATTTGCCAGGCAAAAACGTGACACCCTGTATATCCAAAGATATTTTTAAAATATGTAGGTATTTTTCAAATCCATATAACTTTTATTTAAAACTTTCTTGCGTGTCTACAACAAAATAATGAACAATAACGCACTAATGGGACACCCTGTATAAATTATATTTTTAACAATGAAAATTTCTTATAATGTGGTACTTATCGGTTTGGGTCCTTGGGAAAACTAAAGAATGTTTTCTTGCAGGTATAACCCTTATTAAAACAGCTTTTGACTGCACAAACAGAATGATGTCTTTTTTTTCATTCATTCTACTCACAGCTAAAGAGTCACCAAAATAATAACAGTACCTTTAACTCAAACAAAATCTACGAAATTATAGGCTCCACGAAATTATACAATCAACGAAATTATACGCACGACTCAACACCTTACCTAAGTACACTTCTGAACGCCAAAACCGTCTTTTCCCTTCGAAGGCGGAGCTTAAGCGATGCGCGACGAAATCGACGCAAACCGTTGCCGCCAAGAGAGTGTTTTAGCTGTATTGTATAAACTGTGGTAAAACGTCAAAACACGTCGGGCGACTTCGAGAATTCGGGGTAAAGTTTATCCGCCAGTGTCGTTTCATAGAATAAGTAATTTTAAATTGTTACCCGCGTAACCGGATGATCGCATGTCTTAACAGACTAGAAATAATTATTTAACAAGCATTATAATATCCAAAATCATAATTCTACAAAATTTTAACAGCTATTCACAATTTATTAAACTTTTTACCCGAAATTGTTATTAACATCTAAAAAATAATTTTTTACGCCAATGTATCGCGTCCACTTCGGTTATCTCCGCAGCAAAACTGTCAAATTTCTATGTATGAAGTGGGAGAACTGCGAAAAAACTTTCCAACTTCTGTCCCTGTTATATGAGCTATCACTTTTATGTAGATCCACATACTTTGATTACTATACGGTGCAAGAGAGAGGTCCGACACGCCCAACATAGGGCGCCTAAAATAAAACAGCAGTCTTTTGCGTATCCTGAATTTGTATCCCTGGAGTGGATGTTATTTTGGAACTTTCAACTGGTCCGAGTGAGCTAACTGATTCTTTAGCATTAAACTGTGACTCCAAAAATAATATTCACTGACACTGACAGCAGCAAAAAAAAAATTTCAGGTGCGTTTTAATCATCCGCTTCTGCTTCCTGAATTGTCAGTTTAGTCGTTTTAACCTGTCAGATTAAAACAAGAAAACCGACAATTCCGAAGCAGAAGCGGATGATTAAAACGCACCTATTAAAAATATTGCGCCAAGATGTAGGCAACACGTAATAAGGGATCAAAATGGAGGAGTTTTTTATCTCCTTTTAAAAGGCACTCAGAAAGCTGCGCAGTGCGACCATTCTCCGTATAGTAAAAGAAAATCAAAGTATGTGATGTAGATCGCATTATTTGTATTCTACTGTAATATTATGGTTTTCACGTGTATTGGAACCTCTAGGTTGGAACCAAAATGTCTTTGGTTGGAACATACCACGATTCGTAGACACTACGGTGGCCTCATCCCCGCTGGTAATGATGGAGTAACATCACCGATTTAAAAAGCTAGTTTTCAGAAAATATTCTACTTTTAGAAGATTGAAAATTTTAGTCCTTGGTAAATAAAAATTTGTGATCGATATAACCAAAGAATTTATAACTATTTATATAATAATTTAATAGTTTTTTCCATAATTTTCCAGTGCTATACACATTTTTTAATTATCAAAATGTTTTAAACATGTACATTTTTGGTGTTAAATGTGCCATCGCTTACCTCCAAGCCGTCTTTGCTTTCAATCTCTGAAGTAATGTGAACTACGTCTTTAACAGGCGAGTCCGGTGGCGAGTTTTCTCTGCCATATTTGAGATTGAAGTGAGAAGGCGATCTTCGATGCTTCCTCGTAAACAATACCACACCTGAAATTAAAAATATATATGAATCATAACTAATATTTACAATAACTGTATGTGTTGTGTTTAAAATATGTTTTGATGTCATTTCATATTTTCCTAGATATTTTTTAACTAAGGCTACGGTTACACTGCAAGCGTTTTCGCACGAATACTCTTCACGCGTACTAAGGGTGCATTAAGTGAGCAGTCGGATCGTCATGACCAGACATGACCAATCAGCTGATCGGTCAGGGTCAATTAGGACGGTCGAGAACTTAGATTAAAGAGACCGAAGATGTAACATTGCACACTGCGCATGCTGTCTATTTTAAGCCAAAGTAACCCACCAATTGAAAATCATTGTTGCACAACGCCACCCGAATTGCTCCGATTTCCATTCAGCGATCACACCTCCACCTGAGTTTAATCACCATTGACAGCTGTTTTTTGATTTATTTGTTGGTATTTTAGCAGTTTAAAGTGTTCTAGTTATTCAATTTCAAGTTCAAAATGTCACGATGTATCTTGAAAAATTGTATGTACTTATAATACAAATACTACTGTTATGAATATATTCGTTTTCAGCGGTAAATATTTATTAACGTTTTGACATAAAGCGCCATGATTCTCTGGGCTGAATACTTCAGATCCGCATTAAGGGGTTTCAATAAATATTAAGCATCAGAAATCAGATTTCATATTACTTACATAAATTTACAAAAGGGTAAAATTTTGAACATTTAATTTAAATAAATAGTAAATAGGCATTATTGCTAACGAAATTTTGTATTTAAAAAGTAGTTTTATAAGAATGTTTTCTAAAGGTAGTTTTTAGCCCTTTTTGGTAGATAAATAAGAGGTAAAGAATCATAGTTGCTAGCTAAATTTTATTTTTATAAGGTATTTTTATAAGGTATTTTTATAAGAATATTAGATGAAATACAGGATGACCTACTTAAAATTTCAAGGTTCATCTTATTTGCGGTCAAATAGAAAGTGACATTGAATTTTCAGTATTAAAACAAAGTAATCTAGTATAAGCAAAAAAAAATACTAAAGTTACAGGAGTTAGGTCCGATTCCACCGTTGTGTTAAACGAAGTTTAAAATGACATTTTTACATTAACACTGTCATTTTAATCTCCGTTTAACACAACGGTGGAATCGACCCTTAGTCACGTTAATAAAATGTTACATTACAAACCCCTAAACAACTCGAACATAATTTTCGTTTACTAAAAAAAAATCTAAAATTTAGCAATATTTATTTATTATACAAGCGAATGCCATTTCAAAGATAACTGGATCAAAAAATCCGAATCTCTAAATTTTGGAGCTAAATGCTCAGATAAAAGCAAGCGACCGATAGGGGTTACAAAAATAATCGATTTATCGATAATTCTGATATTTTTTAATGAAAATCGATTTATCCGCTGTTTTTAATAAATTATTTTCGTTTTTTTTTAAGATAATGTATTAATCGATTTTAAAGGAAATACAGAAAAAGTAGATTTATTCAAAATTATCGATTTATCGTTTAATCGGTTTTTTAATTATTTGATTATTTTCGATTTTTCAAAGATATTATATGAAAATAATCGATTGAATATAATCGGTTATTTTACATAATCGATATTTTGGTTATTTTTTTAAAATTATCGATTTATTGGATAATCAGCTTTTTAATAATCAATTATTTTCGATAATCGAATAATCAATTTCAAAGGAAATATGAAAAAAGGATTATTAGAAAATAATAGATAATTCGTTTTATTTTTTGGAAAATCGATTTATCATAGAATCGGCTTCTTAATTAATTGGTTATTTTCGATTAGGCGATTATTTTGGAATTATTGATTATTTTTGGTATTTCAAAGATAATCGAATTATCGATTTTAAAGGAAATATAATAAAAATAGATTATTGATAATAATCGATTGATCGAAAATAATCGATTATTTAAAATAATCGATCATTCTGTTTTTTTTGAAAATCGATTTGTCAGTTAATCGACTTTTTAATTATTCGAATATTTTTGAAATACGATAAAATAGATTATTGGTAATAATCGATTTATCATAGAATCGGCTTCTTAATTAATTGATTATTTTCGATTAGGCGATTATTTTGGAATTATCGATTATTTTCGGTATTTCAAAGATAATCGAATTAACGATTTTAAAGGAAATACAATAAAAATAGATTATTGATAATAATCGATTGATCGAAAATAATCAATTATTTAAAATAATCGATCATTCTATTTTTTTTTTAAATCGATTTATCAGTTAATCGACTTTTTAATTAATTGATTATTTTTGATTAATCGATTATTTTCGATTTTTCAAAGATTATCAAATAATCTGTTTCCATGGACGAAAAAAAATGGTTTGTTTGAAAATAATCGATTATTTAAAATAAACAATAATTCTATTTATATTATATTTTGTAAACACTGATTTATCGGTTAATTGGCTTTTTAATTAATCAATTATTTTTGATTTTTCAAAGATAATCAAGTAGTCGATTTTAAAGGAAATGACAAAAAATATATTGTTTGAAAATAATCTATTGATCGAAAATAATCGATTATTTTCAATTATCGATAATTTATTTCGATAATCACTCATCCCTAGCGACCAAATGACTTTTAATAGATTTAAATTTTAAAATGTTATCTGGTTTCAGACATATGCATTTCTAGAGTTTTATGTGACTCATCCTTTATAATAATTAATATTCTTAAAAAAGAAGCCTTAATATACTTTTTCTGAGGTTACAATACAAAACAGCATTTTCTCATTTTGACTAATTTTTAATAATATGTAATAGCCGTAGAAAAAATATAATGTTCAACTCATAAGGGTAGATTTGCAGTATTAGCCTGCGCACATGCTATTTTTATAATACTCGTAGACAATGAGTAACATTTTTTGCTCTATTAACAATATATTCTATTTCAACATTTTACTGTAATCTCTTGCAGAAAAGTCCGTAGTAAATAAACGCTAACGAAATATTCTATAAAAGGTCTTCTCTTTACATAAAATGTCGTGGCATCTGTTTGATATTAAAAAATCACGATAATTTGATTTCATAATACAAAATTCGATTAAACACCTTTTAAATAAATCTAATAGTTCATTAAGTTGCTAATAAAAGTCCGGTCCCTGTCACAGAGTTCGTGTCGCCGCGTGTCGCCGCCCAGTTCCCCCACTCCGTTAACCCTTCTTTAGAAATTGGCAACATTTGCGCAGGTTTAAAACCGGTGTATGTTATATCTCTGGTCTCTTTTATCTAAGGTCGAGAAATTTCTACTGAATAGTCAATTGTCAGTTATTATTGAACTTGCACAAACAAAAAAGAATCTTCTACTATTTAATATCAGTAAGTTGAGTGTTATATGTATTTATATTACTTTTTAATCAAAAATATGAAGAAACAGCTATAATATTATATTAAAAACTTATTTAATGCCCCAATCGGGAATAACTTCATAGTTTTAAAACAAATTATAAAGTCCGTATGGAAAAAAATAGGTGCCTGGTCTTGTACTTCTTTAGTGTGCTGATCATGGATTTGAAAAATTATAACTAGACAGTTATTGCGACTAAATGCGCTGGTTTAGTGTGATGTCATTTTGGTTCCACTGACATTTAATTCTAACCAAACTTTTAACAAAAACATCAATAAATTTATCATATACGTTCTTACTGTTTTTAGTTTATTTCTAAATATTGGTTACAGGTCATAAAAATAGTTGAGAGGTATGTAAATTGGTAACTAAACGATTGTATATTTGATGCATGTTATCTACTTACTTTAGGAATATATTTATACAAGTGAAAAAACGATATAATTTAGGTAAACACAACGAACAAAACGCACTCAAAAAATCTACTTTCACTTTAATTGTCAGGGGAACCATAATTACATCATCACTGAACCAGCGCATTGTTCAGCGACTCAGATGAAATGTTAAATAAGTAACTGTCCAGATTTGTTTGGTTGTATCATGTTCCTCTTCCATTTCAGTTTTGCTTGAATACTTTGGCAATTGGTTCCGGTCATCCAATTGGCAAATTTTAAATTAAGTGCCCGAATTGACAATTGGATCCCGTCATCCCATTGGCGATTTTCAATTTAAAGGCAGGAATAATTCTTTCTGACATTCTGACCAATTGTGTTCGAGATCCATTAGAGAAAGATAGAAAACCATAGACAAGACGTAGCCAAGCTCCTCAAATACAGGGTTGGGATAAAATGTGGAAATCATAGTAGCAAAACTAGGCTTGTTGACGTCCGGAGTGGAAAGGTGTATTTGGTTATTATTTTCATTAGTAAGTTCATGGGATTTTATGACTACCACATGTATCTACTTGTTCAAATATATCACGATATATTATCAATATTTTAACTGAATTTTTCAGGTTCTGATAGTTATTGACATTATCTAATAGAAATGTGAAGACGATCTCTATGAAGCCTCAATATTCGTAAATAAAACCACACCTGTTAGCGAAACAAGACAAGCCCATGTTTGAATTGGAGCATAACTAACTAACATTGCCATGAAATATTGCACTCTCGATAATCACTTGATTGGTTTTCCGTTTTAATTTACGTGAAAAAATATGCCCCGATTTGATATGCAGTAGGGAAATAAAAAAAAACAAGTGAGTTGTGGACAAGGTAGGGCGGAATACAGACAAAATATGATCCTATTCTAGAGTGAAATTTATGTGGATATATAATGTTCTGCATGCACACATCAAAATAATCTATTGTACAGTACTAAAATATGTATTTAAAAATGTACGCAATGAAACGTATAAAAACAATCGTCTTTAAAAAATGAACGAAGAAAAATATCGGCTTATGCATTAAAATATTATCAAAAAGTCACAACACACCAAAATTTAGTGTTATCAACATGGTTATTTTGACACGGAGGCTCCGAGTTTGGCGATTATTTTTCGTGATCCGGGTTTTTATTAGAATTTTTCGGGTCAGTAGCTCAATTCA